AAGCAATCCTTCCGCCTCGGCCTCCCAGAGTGCTAGGATTATAGGCATGAGCCACCACGCCCTGACGGTTGCCAGTACTTTTGGTGTCATATCCAAGGAATCACTGCCAAATCTGATGCCAAGAAGCATTTCCTCTATGTTTTCCTATAAAAGTTTTATAGGTTTAGGTCTTACATTTTGGTTTTTAAATCCATTTTGAGTTAATTTTTTTACATGGCTTAAAGTAAGAGTCCAGTTTCATTCTTTTGCCTGTGGATATCCAGTTTTCCTGGAACCATTTGTTGAAAAGACTGTCCTTTCCCCACTGAATGGCCTTGGCACCCATGTTGAAACCATTTCACCATGTATGTGAGGGTTTATTGAGCTCTCCATTCTATTCCATTGTTCTATATGTCTGTCTTTATGCTAGTACCATACTGTTTTGATTACTATATCCCTATAGTATGTTTTGAAATCAGGAAGTATGAGTCCTTCAACCTTGTTCTTTTTCAAGATTGTTTTGGCTACACAGGGTCCCTTGAGATTCCACATGAATTTTAGAATGAATTTTCCTATTTTTGCAAAAACGGTCATTGGACTTTTGATAGGGCTGGTACTGAATCTGTTGATAGCTTTAGGCAGTAGTGGCACCTTAACAATATTATATCTTCCAATCCATAAACACGGGTTGTCTTTCCATTTATTTGTGTCTTCTTTAATTTCTTTCAGCAATGTTTTGTCATTTTCAGTGCACAAGTCTTTCAGCTCCTTGGTGAAGTTTATTCTTAAGCACTATTTTATTTTTTGATGCAATTATAAATGGAAATTTTTTCTTAATTTCCTTTTCAGATTGTTCATGTTCATTATTGTATATAAAAATGCAACTGACTTGTGTGTTGATTTTGTATTCTGTAACTTTGCTAAATTTATTAGTTCTAACAGGTGTGTGTGTGTGTGTGTGTGTGTGTGTGTGTGTGTATGTGCATGCACACGCACAATCTTGAGGGTGTTCCCATATGACATCATGTCGCCTGTGGATGGGTATTATTTTAATTTTTCCTTGCCAATTTGGATGTCTTTTACTTTTGTTCTTACTTAATTGCTCTGGTTAGAACTTTTAATGCTACATTGAATAGAAATCTATGTGTATGTGTTTTGACTGTTTTTTTTCTCTTGGCTTTTATTAATTTGGTTTTCTAGCATTTTTATTATATTTTTAATGCTAAATACAGTGTATAAAGAATTTCAGAGGCTATGGATGATATTATTTTCATCTAGAGAGGATTTAGTTTATTTTGGCAGGTAGATATACTACAAGCATATCAACTTAGGCCAATCATGGATTCAGAAGATTGTGTTTTAGGCTTTGTATTTGACTCCTTCTAATTTATGGCTTCTAATTTCTGATTTGTGGCTTTTTCTTATTTCTAAGATATAGTCCCACTCTTCAGGAGTTTCAACTGAAAGCCTGAGGTGTTTGTCACTGCTCCTTCCAAATATCAAGGTCCTAAAATGCAATTTTTAACTCCCTAGCACAGTGAGATTTTCTGCTTAGTTTCTTGGCCCCTCACCCCATGCAAACAAAGCTTAAGAATCAGCAAATGCTTCTCCATTTGTTTGTGTTATCTATGATTTCTTTCATCAGTGTTTTGTAGTTATCCTCATAGAGATATTCCATCTCCTTGGTTAAGTATATTCCTATAATAGATATTTCATTTTCTTTGTAGCTATTGTAAATGATACAGAGTTCTTGGTCTGACTCTCAGCTTGACTGTTATTGATATATAGAAATGCTACTGATTTGTGTACATTAATTTTTTTAACCTGAGACTTTGCTGAATTTACTTATCAATTCTAGGAGTCTTTTGGAGGAGTCTTTATGGTTTTCTAGATATAAGATCATATCATTGGCAAATAGGGATAGTGTGACCTACTCTTTCCCAATTTGGATGTCCTTTATTTCTTTCACTTGCCTGACTGCTCTGGCTAGGACTTTCAGTACTATGTTGAATAGAAGTGGTGACAGAGGGCATCCTTGTCTTGTTCCAGTTTTTAGGGGGAACTCTTTAAACTTTTCCCATTCAGTATAATGTTGACTGTACATTTGTCATTGATCGCTTTTATTATTTTGAGGTATGTTCCTCCTATGCCTATTCTGTTGAGGGTTTTTTATCATAACGGGTGCTGGATTTTATTGAGTGCTTTTTCTACATCTATTGAGATAACCATATGATTTTTGTTTTTAATTCTGTTTATGTGGTGAATCACATTTATTGATTTGCTATGTTGAACCATCCTTGCATCCCTGGGATGAAACCCACTTGATCATGGTGTATTATCTTTTTGATGTACTGTTGGATTTAGCTTGCTAGTATTTTTTGAGGATTTTTGCATCTATGTTCACGAAAGATATTCATCTGTAGTTTTCTTTTTTTGTTGTGTCTTTTCCTGGCTTTGGTATCAAAGTGATACTGTCTTCACAGAATGAGTTAGAGAGGATTACCTCCTTCTCGATGCTATGGAACAGTTTCAGTAGAATAGGTACCATTTCTTCCTTGTAGGTATGGTAGAATTTGGCTGTGAATCCATCTGTCCCTGGGCTTTTTCTGTTGTTGTGGGGAGATTTCTTATTACTGTTTCAATCTTGCTGCTCATTATACCATAGATTGGAAGAAACAACATTGTTAAAATGTCCATACTGCCCTCAGTGATTTACAGATTCAATGCAATCCCATCAAAATAACAACATTATTTTTCACAGAACTGGAAAAAATAATCCTAAATTTCATGTTGAATCAAAAAAGAGCCCAAATAGCCAAAGCAATCCTAAGCAAAAATAACAAAATTGGAGGCATCATGTTACCAGACTTCAAATTATACTACAAGGCTATATTAACCAAAACAGCATGGTACTGGTATAAAGGTAGATACATAGACCAATGGGACAGAAGAGAGGACCCAGAAATAAAACCATATAGCTACAACCAACTGATTTTCAATGAACCAGACAAAAATATCCCCTGCGGAAAGGATGCCCTAGTCAATAAATGGTGCTGGGAAAATCGGATAGGCACATGCAGAAGAATGAAACGAGATCCCCATCTCTCATTATATACAAAAATTAACCAAGATGGATTAAAGACTTAAATGTAAGACCTGAAACCATAAAATTCTAGAAGAAAACATAGGAAAAACTCTTCTGGACATTGGCCTAGCCAAAGAATTTATGACTATATAGCAACAACAAAAATAAATGGGACTTAACTAAACTAAAAAAGTTTCTGCACAGAAAAGGAAATAATCAATAGAGCAAAGAGACGACCTACAGAATGGGAGAAAATATGTGTGAACTACGTATCTGACAAAGGACTAATATCGAGAATCTACAAAGAATTCAAACAAATCAGCAAGAAAATAGATGCAAAAGTTCTCAATAAAATGCTAACAAACCGAATTCAGGTGCTTATCAAAAAAATAATCCACTACGACCAAGTGGGCTTTATCCCAGAGATGCAGGGATGGTCCAACATATGCAAATCTATAAATGTAATTCATCACAAAAATAGAAGCAAAAACAAAGACCATATGATTCTCTCAATAGACGCAGAAAAAGCATTCGACAAAATTCAGCGCCCTTTGATGATAAGAATGCTTAACAAAATAGGCATAGATGGGACTTACCTAAAAATGATACAAGCCATATATGACAAACCCACAGCCAACATCATACTGAATGGGGAAAAACTGAAAGCATTCCCACTTAGAACTGGAACAAGAAAAGGCTGCCCTTTATCATCACTTCTATTCAACATAGTGCTGGAAGTCCTAGCCAGAGCAATCAGACAAGAGAGGAAATCAAGGGCATCAAAATGGGGGTAGAAGAGGTGAAACTATCGCTCTTTGCTTATGATATGGTCTTATATCTAGAAAACCCCAAAGATTCTGCCATGAGACTACTGGATTTGATAAACAAATTCAGCAAAGTCTCAGGTTACAAATTCAATCTACAGAAATCAGTAGCATTCCTATATGCAAACAATACTCAAACTGAGAACCAAATCAAAAACTCAATACCCTTCACAATAGCAACAAAGAAAATAAAATACCTAGGAATATATTTAACTAAGGAGGTAAAAGACTTCTACAGGGAGAACTATAAAACACTGAGGAAAGAAATAGCAGAGGATGTATTTTTATTTTTATTTTTTTTGAGACAGAGTCTCACTTTGCTGCCCGGGCTAGAGTGAGTGCTGTGGCGTCAGCCTAGCTCACAGCAACCTCAAACTCCTGGGCTCAAGCAATCCTTCTGCCTCAGCCTCCCAAGTAGCTGGGACTACAGGCATGCGCCACCATGCCCGGCTAATTTTTTATATATATATATATATTTTTAGTTGTCCAGATCATTTCTTTCTATCTTTTAGTAGAAACGGGGTCTCACTCTTGCTCAGGCTGGTCTCAAACTCCTGACCTTGAGCGATCCACCTGCCTCGGCCTCCCAGAGTGCTAGGATTACAGGCGTGAGCCACCGCGCCCGGCCCGAAATAGCAGAGGATGTAAACAGGTGGAAAACCATACCATGCTCATGGGTCGGCAGAATCAACATTGTTAAAATGTCTATACTACCCAAAGTGATCTACAGGTTCAATGCGATCCCCCTTAAAATACCAACATCATTTTTTGCAGATGCAGAAAAAATAATTCTATGCTTTGTATGGAACCAGAGAAGACCCTGTACAGCAAAGGCAATCTTAAGCAAAAAAGAACAAACTGGGAGGCATCGATTTACCAGACTTCAACCTATACTACAAGGCTATAGTAACTAAAACAGCATGCTACTGGCACAAGAACAGAGACATAGACCAATGGAACAGAACTGAAAACCCAGATATAAAACCATCCTCATATAGCCATCTAATCTTTGACAAACCAGACAAAAACATACACTGGGGAAAAGAATCCTTATTCAATAAATGGTGCTGGGAAAATTGGATAGCCACATGTAGAAGACTGAAACAGGATCTGTACCATTCACCTCTCACAAATATCAACTCACAATGGGTAACAGACTTAAACCTAAGGCATGAAACTATAAGAACTCTAGAAGAAAATGTTGGAAAAGCTCTTACAGACATTGGCCTAGGCTAAGAATTTATGAAGAAGACACCAAAGGCAATCACAGCAGCAACGAAAATAAATAAATGGGACCTAATCAAATTAAAAAGCTTGTCATAGCCAATAAAACTATGAGAGCAAACAGACAACCTACAGAATGGGGGAAAATATTGGCATGCTACACATCCGATAAAGGGCTAATAACTAGAATCTATATAGAACTCAGGAAAATCAGCAAGAAAAAAATCAAACAATCTTATCAAAAAGTGAGCAAAGGACATGAAGAGAAACTTTTCAAAAAAGATAGACTAATGGCCAACAAACATATGAAAAAATGCTTAACATCTCTAATTATCAGGGAAATGCAAATCAAAACCACAATGAGATATCACTTAACTCCAGTGAAAATGGCCTTTATCAAATAGTCCCAAAGCAACAAACGTTGGCGTGGATGCAGAGAGATAGGAACACTCATACACTGCTGGTGGTACTGCAAACTAGTACAACCTCTGTGGAAAGTAATATGGAGATACCTCAAAGACGTGCAAGTAGAACTACCATTTGATCCAGCAATTCCATTACTGGGCATCTACCCAAAGGTAAAAAACACATTCTGTCAAAAAAGACATCTGCACCAGAATGTTTATAGCAGCACAATTCACAATTGCAAAGATGTGGAAACAACCCAAGGTGCCCATCAATACATGAGTGGATTAAGAAAACGTGCTATATGTATACCATGGAGTTCTTCTCAGCCACAAAAAACAATG